ACGACTTCAATATGAGAAATCGGGATATCCACATACTTTTACCTTTTTTTATGTGTTTATTTATGTATTAATAAAATGATGTTATAAGTTTGAAAAAGTAATATTTAAATTTATTGAAATAATATAAATAGTATTTCATTATAAATTTTTTTTTAAAATTTTAATTATTATATTATATTTTTTTCGAATTATAATTAATTAATAACAATTTTTTCATTATAAACTATTTAAATTAATAAAAACGTTTTAATAGTTAAAATGTTTCTTTATTAAAGTTGTGCATCCCTTCACCACTTGTATTTTTTTAGTCCTTTTATTAGTTAAAACGATTTATAAGTTTAAATAAGGATTAGATGTATAGTACAATATTTTAAATTATATTAAAGTAAGAATTAGAAGTGGGGTTTAAGAGTAGGTTAAAGAAATAAACATGGGTTGTTTAAGTAGGTGGTGAGGAAAGATTAGGGGGATTTATAAAAATAAGTTAAGCAATAATTAACCATAAGTTATGGTAAGGTACAGAAAGTAATAAAATGCATAAATGTTATTATAGTCGGAGTATAAATTTTTGGGATAATGTAATTAATTAAATTGATTATATGAAAACAAAATAAATGTTACTAGTATGTCAAGTAAAGATAATAAGTAAATTATTTTATTGAAATTAATTTATAATGAGATATATTAAATGTATTTTGTTTAATTTGTTTAATTTGTACTTATATAAAAAATTTATAAGTAAATTTTGTTTAGAAATAGTTGTAATAGGTTTACTAAGTAAATACATGGCAGTAGAATATAGCTTGGCCTATAATTAATTACAAATTTACTCCAGTGTAACAACGTTAGGTTTTGATGTAAAACTACACGCACAGCCCGTGTAAACTCTAGTGACAATTTTATTTCAGTACTATTTTTTTTTTTGTTGATTGTTTCGTCCTACTCTTTTTCATATTGATATAATGTTATGAATAACTGTGTCAGTGAATAATAATTTTTATTGTAATAGAAATAATTTTAATAACATACGTATTTATATTATGATTATAGTTTATTTTTTACAAAAAATTATTGCACTGAGATGAGATTGATATCATTATTTAATCTTGCTTCACATAATGTAAATAACAACCTACAGCCCCTACAAAAATACTGGTTTGGACTGATCTTTTATATTATAAAAAAATTATCACTCCAAAATTTCTCTCACATATAAAACAGTATCACCACATTAGATTATTGTATGCACTAATATGTAGTTTTTCGATCTATATGCCTGATATAGATTAATAAGTGAAAAAAAAAATCATTACTATTCTATAGAATTTTTGAGTATATTATTATTAAATGAGTAGTGAATATATAAATTTTGTTTTAGCTATATATTATTAAAATACTTAAATTTAATAAATATATTTTTATTATTATCTTTAGAAAATTTAGTTTCATTTTAAAGAAATATTTGTTTTTTTCTTTCTTTTGCATAATTTTTTGTTTTTTCTATAGTATTCAACTTATTTAATATCTATAAAGTTATTGACGTTTTTAAGGTATTTTGTCTGTCACCTAAAAGTTGACTACACATTTTTTTTATAATTGGTTTAAATAATATATTACATTTTAGAAAACACAAAATCTCAAATATTATTGAATCATATAACTTATAGATATATATTAATTATTTCTTTTTTTCTTAATATTTTTATTTATTTTTTAATTTTTTATATGAAAATGTTTAACTCCTAATTTTAAGTTGTCATAGTTTATAGATAACAAACTTAATTATTTTTATTCATTTTTACATCAGTTTCGTTTGCTATAATTTTTTTATAAAAGGAATGTTTAATTAATATTAAAACAGGAAGAAAAGTATTATGTGAGAGGTTTGCTGACCACAGCCAAAAGGGGCAGTTTTTTCTTTCCAAATCTTCTGGTTTCTTCTCTACCAGAAGGCCACATAAGGATAGCCACTACCTTCTTTATTACAAGAATATTTAATACAAGAATAATGTTACTTTCATCCCTTGCCTTTTTTTCTTCTTTACCTAACTTCCTTATTTTTCACTTTTTATAAATATAAAAGTTAACTTCTATTAAAACTATCTTATTTTTATAAAAGTTATGACTGATGTAAAAAAATATATTTTTTTAACCATTTAAGTCTTTCCCGTTTTTAGTTTAAAGTCGTATATATGTTCCTCATTTTTTTATTTTCTTAATTGGAAATTTTAAAAAATTGAAACAATGTAGTTTAATGATATTAAAAACAGTGACTAAACAAATAATTGTAAATTTTTTAAATGATGTGGAATTTAAAAAGGAGACATGGATTTTGTTTTTTCAAACAGAAAATTGGGGTTTCAATGTTACTTCACGTGGTTGTAGAGGTCGCACTATGCATTTCAATGGTGGAAAGGCTGATAAATTTGAAATATGAGTCGATAAAAGTTAAAGATAATGAATTGTTAAATATTTTTATATTTTCATTTTTAATTGAGGTAAGACATTATTAGAAAGAAATAATATAGAGTAGGAATTGATTTTATATAATTTAAGAAAATATTCTATATAGTAAAAATTCGTAAATAAAATAATTGTAATTAATATTATTTATAAGTTTATTTGTAAATAATTGTTTACGAATATATATATATATATATATATATATATATATTTAAAAATAAAATAAATTATACTAACACTTTATCTAAAAAATACAATAAAATTTTCTTTTTATTTAAAAAATAAATTATATTTTCTCTCTTTTTAATATTATGCACGTACTTCTTTAAGTTTTGAAAACATTACAAATATAAACGAGGCAAGTGTAACGATGACAAAATTACAAAATATAAATATAATTTTGTGAAAATTTTGAAATTCTTAATAGAATTAATTCAATTTTTGGAAGTCTTAATCTAATTTACTTTAAAATATTGAAATTTTAAAGAGTAAGTTCAACAAGGGTGATTATGAAAGACTTTTACAAATAAATTCCTTTAATAAGATAGCTTCTATACGTATTTAAGCTTAAAAAAATATATATTCAATATAATGTTAACCCTTCATGAGAATGCATAAGTTTCAATTTGTATTCAATATGCATGAGCTAAGGGAATAAGAAAAGGATAGAAAATTTATATGCACTTGTTTAATAGTTTTTATCAGACCAATTTATTGTATTTTCAATTCTTACAAATTTTTTAAAAAAAATAAGAAAAGAAATATGTACACAGCAAAATTTTGAATTCTACAAATTTCTTTATAATCACATACATCAAGATTATTGATCACTTGTTTTTCTCTTGTCTCTTAAAAAATATAAGATCTTGATATACTGTCAAAATGACGAAGAAGATAGAATCACAATAAATATAAAAGTAAATAAAAGAAAAATGTCTGGTATGAGAACAGAATATTTCGTAAATACAAACCTTCAACTATTCAAATGAATCATCACTCTCATCTGAGGTAGTAAAAAGAAATGGAAAATTACATTTTGATACCCAACTCTTCTCTTACTTTCATTTGAGTCTTTCCTTTTATTAATAAAATATTATATTTAATAAATAAAGTAAATTTTGAAAAAAATTGAAATAAACTAACAATATTTTAAATGGAACTATAATTAAAATAAAGTATAAAAGTATCAAGGTCCAAAAGAAATATGTTTCCTCGCGCACTTATACTTTTATTAAATAAACAATAAGTAATGAAGAAACATACATATCTTCTCACAGAAAACAATCCTGAAATTGAGGCCATGTTTCCTAATCATAGATCAATTTTATGTTCAAAACTAAATAGGTAGAATAGGTTAATTTCTTCACGTTATCTTTTATAAATGGTGAAGAAATCATATATTTTAAATTTAGACCCACTATCTATCAAATAAGAATTTCAAAGTGAACGATTCACATCAAAATTTTGAATGAAACAAAATGTTTACACAGAAAATATATTTGTACTAAATAAATTTAATGTCTTCGTTTTTTTTTTTAAATTAAAAAAAAAACAATTTCCAATAATACACTGTTTTACAATGATAAGTAATAAGAATCAAGGATAATTTTGTATGAGAATTGAACTTTATTTCTTAGCATTCACACCTGAGCAACTAAATATTATTATCTATAGGATGAGAATAAGGAAATTATTCAAAATTATGTATATCAAAGTTACGGATCCTTCTAAAAAATATCAATGAAAATATTTATTATCAATAGAACTCTTTTTATATTAATGTAAAGTTGATTTATTATCAATAGAACTCTTTTTATATTAATGTAAAGTTGATGCAACGCAACATTTTTTTATATGTACTTTAATTTACATTAATATTTGATATTTGAAGCCACTTATTTATATATATATATATATATATATATATATATATATATATATATTTTTAATTTCGAAATAGTATGAATGATGATAATATGTTTTATTTTATTGAAATGGAGTATTGCATATTTATTGGTCTTGCTTATAAGGTAGTAGCAAACTGTTATAATGTAAGTTACCCTTAATATTTCCACCTTATAGAGGGAAAATTGTATTTTTACACCAACTTTTCTCTTTTGAATTTTCTTATTATTAGTAAAATATTATATTAATAAATAAATAAAATTTTGAAATAAGATAATAATAGTCACGAAAATAAGAAAACAGTGTCAAATTATCAAGGTCCTTTCTATAGTGCCCAACATGACAATACTTAAATCATTCAATTGATTCCTAAAGTACATAAGAAGTTTTTGAAGTTAGGTTGAGTTTAATTTATAGAGTCTCTTCTAAATTTATTGAGTTTTAGGTTGAGATAGATTTCACTTGCTAAGAAAGAAAACTCGATATATTTAGTTGCATTGACGGGAAGAACATCCCTGATTGAGTTCAGTGGAATTATAAAGCTTGATTTGAAAATGAACCAATAAACAGCTGAAATTATTACAAATTCTGGAATAATCAGAAGATTAATTACAAGTGTATCGTTGTTCATCTCACGATCCAACACTTGCTACTCTTACCATTATTGTTACATACATCTTATCCACAACCCCATCCACATAAAGAAAGTATGCGTGTCTCCAATCCTTTCTCAAAAACAGAGTTCCGAAGAATGCCCAAAACCCTGTTATGAAACCAAGTGCAATGACTAAGTAAAACAACACATTTTCTTTCTTATCACCGATCTCATTGTTGTCTTCATGGCTAGGTACCCCATCACCGATGGAACATTTATTCGCCAGGAATTCTCCGCAGAGATGTGGATTGCCAGCAAAAGATCGATTATCAAAGGTCAAAAAATGATCATTTGTTGGAACGGAACCTGATAAATTATTGTTGGACAAGTTTAAGAAACCTAGATTATGCATGATGGACATGTCGGTTGGGATGGGACCAGAAAGGTTATTGTTGGAGAAATCCAGAGACTCCAGCGACTGCATTTTCTTTATATTGCTTGGGATATTTCCTGACAAGTGATTATGTGATAAGTTCAAGCCAATCAATCCTGAAAGAGAGGTTACACCGGCAGGGATTGATCCCATGAGACTGTTACTTGACAAGTCTATGTTTACCAAATGCGGATATGCGTATTTTTTTGTGTAATCATATTCATTTCCTTTCAAGAATTGCTTGAAATGCCTTTTTGCCCATTCATCTGCATCATAAGTGAATGCTGGTGGTGCTTCAACTCCATTTATCATCATACCCCGGAAATTACCAATGCAAGGAGGGATTGAACCTGACAAATTATTATCAGCAAGGTCCAGGATTTTTACATTATAGTACTGGCAGAGAGATGTCGGAATATCACCACTGAACAAGTTCCCCCGCAGTCTCAGAATTTCAAGAACAGTTTGTGCTGCCCACCAAGAAGGTATTTTTCCGGTAAATTGATTCTCACCGAGATCCAAAATCTGCAACCATTCGTTGCTTTGCAAGGGTTGAAAAGGCTCTCCATGGAGGCTATTGTTGCTCAAATTCAACCATCCCACTGTAAGATTCCCAAATGAGTTTGGAATGGTGCCGGATAACCGATTTGATGCCACATTTAAGACGGAGAAAAACTGCTTTACCCAACAATCAGGAATTGTGCCAGAAAATCTGTTTTCTGAGAGATCGAGAATGAACAAGTTTTCCATCTCGCACAATGAGTCTGGTATCGAACCTTCTATAAGGTTAGTACGGAGATTTAGCCTATACAGGTTTGGAAGATGATGACCAAAATCTCTCGGAATATTTCCTCTAATCTGATTGTTAGAGATGTCTAATGTAAAAAGTTGCTCCAGTGTTTGAACCCACTGAGGAAAATGTGTCAGATTATTGTAAGCCATTCCAAGGACTTGTAAATGCTTGAAAGGTGGTTCCCAATTGGAGTCTGTCTTCAAATCCAGATTGTTGTATCCTATTTGAAATTCTATCAAATTTGAGAGGTTACGAAGGTGAATCTCTGATATGATACCTGTGAATGAGTTATTAACCATCCTTAAGGTCACTAGATTCCTCAGTTGTCCAAGGCTTTCTGGAATGCTTCCATTCAAGTGATTATTAGAAAGATCCAATAAACCTAAAGATGACAACCGTCCAAAGGTAGCAGGAATTGACCCATGTAGCTGATTATCCGAAAGATCTAATGTTGTCAAGGCCAACAAATTTCCAAAGGATGATGGAATTGGACCATAGAATAAATTCATTGCAAGATCAAGGATATTCAAATTTGACAGTTGTCCAAACCAACTAGGCAAACTGTCCTTAATTCCATTTCCTCTCAACACTAAAACTTCCAGATCGTATTTTCCACATCCCGAATAGTTTCCCTGACCTAGCCCCGACCCTTCAAAAATAGGTATGCTAGATGACAAGTCTAATGATCGGAGGGAGCACATGTTTGTCAAGATAGATATCACGGAGGCTTCAATCCTCTTGAAGGGATTACCAGAAAGATTAAGATTGACAAGAGCATCAAAATTAACCAACCAATTTGGAAGTGTAGTGAGATTGTTGTAACCAAGGTTGAGGTCTACAATTGAACTCATGTTCAGAAAAGCATCAGGAACAGGGTCAGAAAGTAAATTTTGAGCAAGACTCAGAACTTGAACATTGGCAAGAAACGTAGAATTAACATGGCCAGCAGGAAAGTTCATGTTGGTAAGATCACATCCACTAAACTCTACTTGCAACAAGAAAGGAAGGGTATCAAGCACCTGCAATAGATTATGTGCCCTTCCAAGGCCCACTCCATTCATTGCTAGGTGTTTCAGTGATGAAAGTTTTGAAAGCCAAGCCAGATCATCAACATCTACATCAACATCTAAAGGATTTCCACTGAAATCAAGAACCTGCAAGTTTGAAAGATTGCCGAGTTGGTGAGGAATCTTTTCCCTGAAATCACAGTCAGAGAGGTTAAGATGTGTCAGCTGATTCATGGAAGCAAGGAATGCTGGTATAGGACCATTGCCAAAAGAAATTCCTGTGAGTTCGAGATAGTTCAAGTGTTTCAAATCCAATATAGAAGGGTGAACGCCATTAGAATTTTGTCTTGAGCACGTGCGTACAAAACCGGTTCGACGATAACTGCATGTCTTTTGCCAATGGAGAACAAGCTTGACAACGTGTCCGGTGATAGCATCACATTGCACTCCTTTCCACTGGCAGTGATCCTTTCCTTCCCAAGAAACAAACATGGAGCTGTTGGAGAAACTTCCTTTGAGACTTTCAAGTGCTTGTCGCTCTTCCATTGTGTGGTCAGAGGTTGAATTTGCACACAAGCACAATTGTGGAATTGCAATAAGGAACAACAAATCCAAAGGCACAAGGAACAAAACATTTGAGTCCGCTCTCATGTTTGCCAATAAGCGCAGTTTTCTTGGATAGAAGAACTGAAATTCGAAAATCATGTTATACTTTGTGGTTGTTTTCATAAGAAACAGTTTTTTTGGGGGGAAGTAGACGAGTCAACGCGATAGTAATTTGTGGGGACTTGGTCTAGATGGCTGTTCAAGGTCGTAAACTAAAAAGGTTTTCGTGAATTTTGGATTACGGAATCGATCATTATCTTCGGGGTAGCTGAAGAAAAATGAATTTTTGAATCAAGTCTTCTTGTTCACATTTACTAAGCCGGCAAGGAAACTTACTAAAAGTTAATTAAAAAACAAATGTTGACTGAAATTAGTAAAGAAAATAAACTTAAGAAATTGAATACTTAGTTTGAAAGAGAAAAGAATTATTTAATTTCGTACTGGACATTTCAAAGAATGGTAAAGAAGCACGATCATTTAGATGTGTAAGCAGACTATTATCACCCTAATATAAACTACTAATTTTATATTCCTGTGAGTGTTCTTATCATACTAAATTTAAGGGATTTTCCTTGGTATATGTGTGTAAGCCTGGTAGATAATATTGGTAACTGTTTAATATAAACATGGCTAAAATCTCATGAAATTTTTTAATGTAGAAACAATGTGTTGTCATTATCGATATTCAAAAGGACTAGAGAGCTTGTTTCCTCTTGCTTGATTGTTTTTCCTGTGTCTTTGTCTAAGCTCTCAATTTCACTGCACATATTCATTAATACATTATCTACAACATATGTGCGGTTTGAAGATTCAAAAATCTGATCAGGGAGTGGATCTGCAGTAAAGTCATGGTTCTACATGGGCTTAGGGAGTGGATTTGTATTCAAAAGGAATACTTAAATTGCTTATTTTAGATTTCTAAACATAAAAAAGTGCAACTGCGGTATGCAAAGCAAGTTTTTTCATTCAGCTTTTCCTTGTTTTTCTTTTTTTTTTTCTCTGTTCTGGAAAAATCAACTCGGTACCCTTGCATTGTCTAAGTATATAATTTGCGAGACCTAGATGTCCATCCTGGGACCTACTATCTCAACCAAAATGAGACACAAATAACAAACTCTGGCTAGTAATTTCCTGTTTTTATATATTATAGTTCTGTTTCCTATGTTGGATCTGTGCTTTGTGGTACAGTTGTTTTGTGTCTTTACACCAGACTAAGCCAAAATATGTGTATATAAAGATGTTTTCAGACCAAATAATATTTTAGCATATAATCAAAAGCTCTCCCTCGTTATCTAATGATGTGACAAAAATAGAGTATAGAAGTCAATGCAAACTTTATTTTTCTGATGAGGTTAAGTTTAAAATTCATCTTTTAATTTCTAACATCGTATCAGAGCTCCTGTCATACAGTTTTCTAATCGGCCTTTTTATTTAGATTGCTTGACAATAAGTTCAACTTCTACCTTGAGTTAACATAATTTTCCCATCATATGCTCATTCTAATTATTCATAAAATTACACAGTCGTCTAAGGGTTCTTTTCTAATGTTTCACAACAGTTAACCTTAGCAAATTTACAAGGGGAAAAAGTGTGGAGAAGAAACACAAGATCATAATAGACTTGCAGTGGAATGCAGTTGTACCTTCAAAGAATGTAGTGTATACAATAATAAGGTTGTTCGATATAGCCTGTAATCCATGGCAGTGCTTTTCTAGGTATCATATTAAACTACCAGTTTACAATGTAGGCCAGTTGACAAAAAGAACAAAAAAAAACAGCAGAAGTCAAACAAATAAAGAAATTAATAGTGCCGCCAAAGCTAGCTGTAGGGAAAAGGGTGAAATCTTAATAATTGGATGACATTATTATATTGCCCTTGCTTTTATGATATCAAAGCTCATCTCACTGGGATCCGTTGCTTGCAACTCAACCTGAATGCCATCAAGTTCCCTCTTGAATCTGTCCTTGGAGCTGGCATACACCATCTTCTCTCTCACCTTTGACGTATCCGGAGCCCTGAACATGAGAAACAAGAAAGTAAAGATAAATACATGACAGCAAAGTCAGTATTTAAACATAGTAGGTTTCATTTCTAATACGAGGGTGCCATATTTGAACATCACAAACATTCATTTATAGACTAAGAATCCTATACTGCAATGTGTTAATAGCTTTTCTGTCGTTCTTAGTATTTCCAAGTGTAGCTTTGGATTAGTTTCTTTAAGATTAAATAAGTTTCTGTTAGAGAACAATAACTGAGTGATAACATATTACCATGCAATGAAGAAAATCTTGCTTTTCTGGCAGTTTTCATTTGTTGTGAAATCAAAATCAAAGACAGCGTATCGGCACTCTTTGGCAGGCAGACATGCAGTGAAGTCCTCATAGGTTTCTTCTGGGCTTCCAAGTTTCTCCACTATCACTTCGTAGTTCTCAATCTTAAACACAATGAAACGGTAGTTCCTCTTTGCCTTTAGCTCCAGGAACTTTAATTTACACTCGTCAAGAACAGCCATTCCAGATGCCGCGTTGGCCTACAACACGTTTTCAGAAAATTAGTATGAGTTCATATAAAATTTGATGATAATAACCAGACTTAAGTTTTTTTAGTAACCATGTTATTCGCACGGAGTATCTACTTGCTTTGTCAATGACTAATTCCCATCAAAGAATCCGGCTCAACATGTTAATAGAGTCTTCCCTTTCAATCTAATTCCTTTCCAATCCTAGGATCTTCCTTTAGGGGCCAAATCACGACTAGTTGGTAGACTTTAACTCTTTTTGAGACTTTAAATAGCCCCCAACGGTGGAGTTTAAAACACAAATGTAATCTGTTGTCTCAATCCAGGAAAACTCAGCCAGAATGGCCCACTTCCTCAACCAATTCATTGTCAAGTCCAGCACTCAAAGAAATGGATATAAAACAGAACTATAAGGTGTGGGGAAAACTCAGTGTCACGCCTATACTATTCAGATGAAACTGATAAAAAATGTTGTCTTGTTCTTGTTAGCCTACAGGGATGGTTACCCCTGAAGTTTAGAAGTTCTTAACTGTAACGTGAAAAATTCTAGGCATCCAATTGATCAATGTGCTTTCCAAAATCGTAAAATTAGCAATTTTCATAATTTAGAAGCATATGCATGCATCGAATGGAGCAATTACCATGCAAACAATATCATTTCTGCCAATAAGACTACTCTAACATACAAATGAATATATCTGTCCATGGAAAAACAAAAATGGTGGATGTGATATGCATATAAGTGTATGTAAGCAGTGATTTCCATGAAGAAGTGGAGCGTTAGCGACAGAGAGAGAACGTACCATGTTGTCGGAGTTGATAGAGAAAGGGTATGGAGAAGTGAGAAAGAAAGGGTTAGAGAAAGAAAGAGAGGAAGAGATCCTTATTTTTGGGGGAGGCAAATGGAAATGAGAAGTTTGAGAGAAAAAGGGAGAGGAAGAGAATTTTGAGGAAGGAAACAGAGGTTGAAATCCTTCAAAACTTTTATGGGTGTTAATATCCTCTGAAACCCATGCATTCTTTGCATGTATACGTGCACTCTCACCTGTGTCTTTCACTTTTTAATTCTAGCCATCAAGATGCCATGAATTCCTCTATTTACATATATTTTTTAAACTACTATTTGTAATTTACTTAAGAGTGTGTAAGCAATTTTTTTTTATTTTCTCATCTTGGAAATATATGTAATTATTATCAAATACTTATGTGTCTTTAATTTTGAAAAATACCTCTTCTTAAAAATAAAATAAAAAACTGGTTGGAATCAATATTTTTATCTTATCAAGATTTTTTTAAGTTATCAAAGCTTTATATATATAACTGTAAACTCTTTAAAATATGAATGACAATGTAAGAAGAGTGATAATTGACCCATAAATATACCGACAACTCAAAAACATTCACAAAAGAAATATTTTTGCACTTTTTTCTCGTCTACTTTCATGGATTGTTCATATTTCTCATCAGATAATGCACAAGTTTAAATTATATATGATTTATATTTCAGATTGTACAATTTTAAAACATAATTTAAATTGTATAATTTAAAATATATATTTTAAATTTGAAAATACATTATGAATTATATAATTTTATAATACATTTTTCAGAATGCATCTCTAGGTTATCCAATCTTGAATGTATTTATAGATTGTAAATATTTTTGAACAAATTGACCCTAAGGATAACACCAACTTTCTCTAAAGAAATTTCAATCGATAAAAGTATTTCATTCAACGATTTTTTTTATAAATGCAATCTTGTACCGTTACTTCATTTTCGTTAAGCGAATAATAATCAATTAATGAATTATTCTTTAAAAGATTGTTCACTTAACTTTTTATGAAAATGGCTATCCTCTGGATCTTGAAGTTGATCTTTTCAAGAATTTTTCTTTGTATCATTAAAATTTAGAATTAATGTACCAAATCATCTTAGTATGTTTGTATTTGTTTGTAGAAACAGTTGAGTTTAAAAGTAGTGTCCAAGAATGGTTCAGAACTGATTTTCTCAAAGTTTAAATGTGTAAGTCAATCATCGAAGTTGTTTGAAACAATTTGATTAAGTTGAGTTTTTATGAAAAACTTAGCATCTGCCTCCCTTTCCTTTCTCCTACCTTAACAACAAAGTTC